ATATATATATATATATATATATATATATATATATAACAAAACGTATTTATAAAATTAAACGATATATATATATATATACACGTTGACTTTTGTTGACCGGGCCGGGCCGGTCCTATAACCGGTTCTGGTCTTAACCGGTCTCGGTCCTAAAAAACGTTAAAATTCATAGTCGGTTCATAATCGGCGGTCCACAACCGGTCCATACCGGTCCCGGGCCGGTTTCGGTCCCTCTCCGGTCCCGGTTCCGCTCCTCCGACGGTTACGGGCCGGGCCGGGCTCATTTGACCATCTCTAACAACCGTTTAAAAAAAAATTGGATCCATTCCTACCAGATCATCATCACATCAAAAATATGTTAAATTTTAAATCTGAAATGTCAAAAAAAATGGCACATTAACGGTTCTTTAGGTTAACTGACTAACTATAATTTGTCAAATATACAATACCATTAAAGTTATTTTTGCAACTTTAAACAATGTAACAATTAGGAGTGTAAATGATATAAGACAACTCATAAGCTACTCGACAATCAACTCGAATAGGCTCGGCTAACACTCGACCCGAATTGGCTCGGTTCAAACTCAAACTCGACATATTAACTAGTCGAGTTAAGCTACCCAATACTCGACCTAAAATCACTCCATTTTTTTGTCAACCGAGTTACAGGCCATAAACCACAAAGGCAAAAATATTGGATACGAAAATCTCATGGAAGTTGATTTGATATTTCACGAGATTTCATAAAATTTGTTTGTAATAATATTTTAAAATATATTAAAAATATTTGTTTTGTAATAAACAAATAATAAAAAAAATATTTTTTATAATTATTTTCAATTAGTTTTCATTTCAAATCTTTCAAACCAAACACTCCAAATCCTTCAAAATATTTCATCAAAACAGCTCATTTGGGTTGTTTACTTACGGCTTAATCGCACAAATAGAAATAGTGTATTGTCCCCATTCAGCCACAAAAATAACATATCTACCCCTTATTTAAAGCATCGCCTCCTTCCCAAATAGGACACCCCATCGTCAACCTCTTTATGATTTTTGTTTTGATGTTCAAATAATTAATATTTGGGGGTAAATCGGCCATTTATGTTATTCAGACTGTTGGTTCAGATAAAAAAAATAAAAAAACAACATTCATTTATCTAGACAGACAAATTTATCCATACAAAACTTGATTATTTTTTTTTGGTAAACAGCCTTTTATATGCATCTAATCAAATTTGAAAACATATACCCAAAGCATTATTTAGCAAAAAAAAGGAACTAATTAACCACTCGATACTTTATAGTTAACATAAATCAGGTTCCCCAATTCCAAACGAACTTGTTGCATAGCAAACAACAAATCCAAGTAATTCTAAGCGTATCTTAGATCAAAATGGACAACGTATACGCCAATCGTTAATATGAACATAAGTTCTACCATATGCAATGTATGTCAATTTCAGTGTCGTGAACTTGTGTTAACGAAAACTAGTTGTTCAACGTATGTAGACGACACTTCATGCTCATAATGTTTTGGCCAAGGTTCATTTACGAGCCTTAAATACTTTAAAAACCTAGGAACCACTCTTTTTGTGAGTATTCATGATAAATGCCGCGACATATATTCATCATGAATACTCACAAAATAGTTAGTTTATGGGTCCCTAAAATATTTAAGGTTCGTAAATTAACCTCTGCTCCCACCACTTGATACTAGTTGATGTAAAGTAGGTTCATCAACTGAAAACTAAAAGGGCTATTTACCAAAACACTTACTAGGCAAGGAGTCGTTTGGTTGGCTTTAAACTAAGTCCTGTATGGATAAAGTTGTGTGTGCGGCTTAATCTGTATGTATAAATTGGGAAGGTCTTGTTTGGGAGGGTTTTTCCATTCCTTTAATTGAGAAGAGCACGTATGGAATATCTTGGCTTTCAGCATAAAGCTCTCCCAAGAAGCTTACTGGACAAGCCATTTTCCATATAATTATGCCACTAGCAAATAGTCATGTATAGCTGACCAAATAGGTTGTGAATCCGATTAAGCTTATTAAGTTGCTAACAAACAAACTCTAAGTGCTTACCGGCAACAGCGACCACCCTCACATACCTTATCATGTAACCTTCTCGGCCGTCATAATGGATTGTTGGTAAGCATCTTTTACCTAGTAAACACTTATTGGGTAAGAGTTTCTCCCTCGCCAGGTAAGATTCTCAGTCCTTGACATGCCTTTTACCAGGTAAGATTTTTTATCCTTGCCATGCCCACCCGCTATGACAAGTGACACCCAGTAAGCATTTACCTGCCCCTAAATTGTTATGCCATAAACAACAAATCCAAAGAAATTCTAAGCGCATCTCATATCAAAACGAAAAACATATACAACGGCAACCATTAACATGAGCATAACTTTTAACAAAAGGCAATTTGTTCGTCGTAAACTTGTGTTCATATAAATTTTAACTAAGAAATGAACGCTAAAAACTAACCGTTCAGTATCTGTAGATAACACTTGTGCTCGTAATGCAACCATCCACCTGTCTTCCATGAAATCGTTTGGTACCTGTCTTACTTTTCACAGAAAATGACTTAATCGAAAGCATGTGGATTAATTAAAAATGAAAGCTTACTTGATCCATTTAGCATTCATAAAACAAACAAAATCCAAGTCCAATAAAAAGAAGCATAATTTAAAGAAAACTTGATATTTTTTAAGCAGCACCACCACTCTTTCCTTTCTTCTTCTGAAGCTTCTTCATGTAAAACTCAAGTTCTTTTCCCTCCAATATGTACCTGCCAAAAGGGCAAGAAACTTCAATTTTGTATCTTTTTTTTAAGTATATAATATTTATATAAGACAAATACACACACATTCCTCGCATTTTGTGAGATTTTAACCCTTGACCTCCGGGGTAGAGGTGTAGAAGAAACCGTCAAACCGCTCAACCCGCCCAACCCAATCTGCTAACCACCCAAGTAAACCAAACCCGTCAAACCGCTAATTAAGAGGGTTGAAATTAGGATAACCTAGCTCAACCTAACCCACCAACCCACCGTTAATATATATAACTTCGATAAAAATTTATAAATATCTATATGTAATATACTAGTCTATAGATATATATAAACATATATATTAATAGTGTAAAATTTTATATAATGTTTGTTGAGTTTATCTTTGTATTTCTTTTTAGCCTATATGTATAGTATAGGTTACCAAAAAGATTCACCACGAAAAAATGAAGGCAAAGAATCTAATAGGAGAAGATCATTGGAGTCGTTTTTGCAGCAACAACAAATGGATGTGCCGGAGAATATGAATGATGTTTATAGATACCTGGTTGACGAATCCATCAATCCAAATACTCCCTCTTTTGATGTTTTACTTTGGTGGAAAGAGAATGCTAATAGTTATAGCATTTTACTACAACAATGACCCTTAATGGAAGTGGAACCATATTCGGTAAATCACACGATATATGCCGCAACTATTGCTGAATAAACGGTCTGAGTGACATAAAGAGGAGGGTTGAGAAACGGGGTTTTGGTTTTGGTTTTGGTTTTGGTTTTGGTTTTGGTTTTGGTTTTGGTTTTGGTTTTGGTTTTGGTTTTGGTTTTGGTTTTAGTTTTACTTTCATTTCTGTTTTATTTTTATTTTTGAATATATATTTTTGTTTTATAAGAAAAAATAAAATAAAATTTCCAATCGACACTATGACTTGAATCTTTTGACTGATAGAAATGATCAGAGATTATTGTAGGCTCTCGGTTTAAAGAATTCAACCCTAGTAAGAACAATTTCACTAAAGTAGATAAATTTGCTTTACACTTGGGTTGTAGCTCAGTGGTACTGGTAAGGCTCAGAAAAAGTAGTGGAAATCTTATCTTTCCCGGGTATGAATCTAGGCGCTGCCAAGGCCCTTGTCGCCTGAGGGATTAGTTGGTGCGCATAAGAGGAACCGCAAACCACGGTTACCCCCCCAAAAAAAGTAGGTCCACTTCAAGAATTTACAATATCTAAGAAATCTATTTGGAACAGTATACAGTATACACCACTCTTGCTGCCTTTCTACTTACATGTGCACATGTAAATGGAAAATAGATAAGACACTGGATAAATTTGCATACCCGTCAGCACGACCACACTGGCCAGGGCGTGATGAAATTGCTGCTAGAAGACGACCACTGGAGAATTGCTCTTCAACGTGTTGATCAAGCTTACGTTCCTCTTGACGCTTCTCCAATTTCCTCACAACATGGTTGCTCTTCTTGGTCTCTTCAGTAGCCACTTCAGCTTCCTATGAATCAATCATGACATTTGATATAGAAAATTAGTACCCTTGGATATCCTATCTAAGTAAACTAACTAATAACCTTTCAAATTTAATGCAAATATTAGAATTTTAAGCAATAAATATGACTTTGGTTGCCTAGGAAGTAGGAACCTCCAAGAAAAACTCCAATTAAGCAACTGTATCCGAATAAAAGTCGTTCCATAGACTTTCGTGATGGAGTGTGCTCCAGGACAACAAAGAAAAGGCACACCCTTCCAACAAAAATAATATAGATAAGGAGCTTTGTGTTACTACAACTGTCAGATTTTGAACCAGAAAAACTTTCAAGTGTTGTTTGCTTAAAAGGTGCGGACTACTGAGTCTTATTTCACTTCTATCTAATAAGAGGTGCGGCTGAAATCTGAGCAGAATGAATAACTATTTGTTTATGTAAACCGATAAACGCATGAATGTGTGTAATTCTCCATTTTACTCCTCAATATATTATAACGTTGAATGTATATAAAAAGAATTTCACTTTTACTCATGAATATGTAGAATAATTATCAAGAAATCTTTATCTGAAAAGAATAAATAAAATGTGAAAACAATGAATTTATCTGAAAACAATAGCTATCAAGAATCACAAAGATGATATTTATCTGAAACCAATAAATAAAATGTGAGACATCACGAGCTTAACACAAAAATGCAACAGCGAAGTGGCTAAAGCATTACATCAAGATGTGTGGTGAGTTCAACCCATGGCACACCACATTTGAGGTTTCCTATTAAACTCACATCAGCAGTACAATAAGGCTTGTAAGTCTAACCTTTTATTCATTAAGACATAAATGGAATAAGAGGTATTTTTCAAAAAACAAACAGCACCTTAGAAACAAAAAACAAGTGCAGCAGCAGCTGACCAAGAAACATTCACGACCAAATATACAAACAAAGAACATACCTCTCCCTCCTTTTTGGTGGCAGCAGCAGCTGGCTTCTTCTTGCGGCCTATGTCAAGTCCATAGTGTTGAAGGTACCATTGCTTAAAAGGTGCAGCATCAACCTGAACGATTGCACTCTTCACTAAAGTCTGGGTCCTGACCAACTCATTATTCGATGCATTGTAAACCACATCCAATATACGTGTTTTTCGGGTCACAGCCTCACTCCCCCACGAGTAGTTACCTGTATCCAACCTCAAGGCACGCCACTTCACATTACCACCTCGAACCCTCACCCTCCGAACAGTCTTGTTGCTAGAAATCTTCGTGTTGGCAGGCTGCCTTCCGAGCTCATACCTTAATGAGAAAGAACAATAGGACTGTTAACCGTGACATCCAGAAGAACATGACATAATTACATTCTGGCATTGAAGAACGCCCTCGAATAAGATGACTTGATATGAATGATTGTTAATACTAAAATGAATTCAATATCAAAAAAAAAAATTAGAGTGATCAGTCACATAATTGTCCAGATATTGCTCCACAAAATATGAGTCAAATTTGTTGTTCTGTCTAAAGAAAAACAAATAAATAGCTTGTATAAGATTTAATAACTATGAATTGGGCGGGAATTCATTGGGATAATACGCCTGATTCAGAGTTCAGATTGAAGCTTAAGAGCTGATAATCACAAAACATTAAACAATCTTATAGTTACCCGAAGAACACGATTAACAATATGGAGGGCAAAACAAGCAGAGAATTCAGCAGACACGCATTAGAAATTAAACGAGCCGAGTGAAAAAAAAAATCATGAAACAAAATCAACAATCAGTAACCGTAAGCAATGAACGTAGAGATAAAATGAAGAACAAAAACAGAAGCAAGTTCTAATAGAAAATTACTTTCGCTTCTTTCTCCACGCCTTCTTCTTGCCACCAGTGGCACGTCTCTTGTGCATGGAATCACGAGAGATACCTGCAATTTAAAGTTAATAAGCATCAACGTTTCAAAAATTGGCATCACCATGATGAAGATAACAGATCAATGAACACAATCTAACGAATCAATTCGTATCAGTAATCGGAAATGCTCACCCATGTTCGCAGATGACGGTTGTTCCTCCTCTAGGGTTTATGGCGCGCCTCTGAGCTCGACCTCCCAGATGACGGAAGAAAACTAGGGTTTGGCAGAGTGAGAACTTAATAAGTGAACCGGTTTGCACATTTACATTGAGGCCCATTGTCTTTATTAAATTTACAATATCTACCCTTCTTTTCAAGCTATTCACAACATACCCACCAATGTCTTGACAGTGCATTAGGGTGGTTCGGACCGGTAATTAATGCATTCATGTATGTATATAATTATATATGATACTTATAAGACTTAGGTGGCGTTTGTTTTTTAGAGGTTCTCAAGTTTGAAGTTTTATTTCACTTCTGATTTATAAGAGATGGTCTTAAAGTCTGAAATTTGGCTCAGTAAAATTGTTTGTTTTTACGTCTGAAGTCTTAAATTTGAATCGATCAAATTAGTGCAAAAATATAAAAGATAAATAGTTTTTTTTATAAAAGTATAGAGGATATATAGTTTTTGCTAACAAATCTCTTCTAACCCCCAAAATACGAACAAATTGATAGAGGGAGGATTAGGATTAAGAGATATTAAAGGGGTACGTTTACCACTTAAAATTTCATAGAATATTTAGAATTTTTAAGTTCTTATTTTAAAAATAAAACAAACGCTCTTAATACTCAAACGTCCGAATGAATCAGACTTAAGATGTATTAAGAGGTAATTTTGAAAAAACAAACAGACCATTGTTGTAATTTACATATCTTCTTACTATGTTTATTAATAGACAAACATGACGTAATCAAACAAAACTATTTCGTTGTTGTTAGTTTGTTATAACTGAGTACTATTGGATAAAAATTAAGTTGATCCAAACATGACAAAAAACAGTGATACGTTTTCATTTAAAAAAAAATGAAATGATTACATTTTGTATACATTAGAAGTTGCTAAAACGGGTCCACGTTGGGTAGGTCCTAAATCGGTCTCGCTCCCAACTAATCTCTTTAAAATCGAATCGATTAGTCTGAGTCCGGTCGTGACCAAAAACCTTAGGACTAAGCAGGGCCGGTGACAAATCTGGTCCGGGCTCAACCAGGTTTTTTAAAAAGATTACACAAAATGTCATTCGTGTTTTTATAATTACAATATTTGAAATTGGCTTTGAAATGCACTTTAAATAATACATTTACTTGTTAAAAAAACATTTTAAACTTGTATTGTAATTAATAAAAACTAAAAAAAATGAAAAATTAACCCTATACACAACTCGTACCTGAAGGGGTCTTGAAAGTCTAAATAACTTGTAACATGTTCTGAACTGTGAGGCATTGGGGTGTACATCGGGCGGGTCAGGTGGGTTCGGGAGGGAAAATCAAAAACCTGATTGGATTTTGGATATGATAATCAAGTCCCAATTTTTGGATTTTGAATTTTGGATTGCTTCAGGTTCGACTTGGTCGGGTTTCGGGTTGAGGTTGGCCGGTTCGAGTTTAGTTTAATGCAAAAATATATATCCAATCAATTTTGACAATGAATTCAATCGATTTAGAGGATTGATAAATTAGTGGTATGCTTAGAAATTAGAAGAAGAAAAACAACCGACTAAAATTTTTAGAATTTTCAAAAGATAATTAGATAAATAAGTATATATATATATATATATATATATAGGGTTGGGTTCACGTGAGACCACCTTATTTTATTGAGACCCGTGAGACCATATTTTTACACGTAAACTTCACAGCAAAAACACTGTGAAGGTTTTAAAAAGTCACCTTCAAAGCATTTTGCTGTGAAGTTTCAAGTGTAAAATGCTGGTCTCACGGGTCTCACGAAAACATGCTAGTCTCACATGATCCCAAATCTATATATATATATATATATAAGGGTTGGTTATTATACAACCATTGACATTTGTGCAACCAATACAACTCAATCTCAACCGTCCATTTCATTTGATTAATATGTGATTTCATAGAAGTTTTGATTATTTTCTAATATAAAATATTAATCATAATTAATGAACCATATTCATCTTTCATAATATTCAAATCATAATAAATGAACTCTCATCATTTTCATATATATCTCAATTTATTGGGTTGCATTGGTTATACAAATATAACGGGTTGTATTTGAAACAAACTATATATATATACTATATTATAAAGCATTTGGCTAAAACTCTTAAGAACTCTTAAAACTCTTAAACTCGTTCATCCTTATCCGTTTTCATTCCATATCTGAATTCGTGTAACTAATTGCAGATAAACACAATCAAATACAGGATAAACATCTCATTTTAAAATAAAAAATCGAAAATATAATTAGGATAATCATTGAGTTCTAACAGAATATTTAATTATGATCTTTATAAAATGTTATACTATTATATAAACCAAAAAATAAATTATTTCATTATTAAACTTAAATTAAATTATATATATATATATTATAAAGCATTTGATAAAAACTCTTAAAAACTATTTTTTATGCGTAAAATACTGTTTATTAATGCATATTACTTAAAGCTCAATATTACAAGTAGATTGTGCGTAAGTACAACTTATTAAAGCTCCATATCTGAATTCGTGTAACTAATTGCAGATAAACATAATCAAATACAAGATAAACAT